ACAGTTCTTATTTATCATTACCGTTGGCAAATTTGCTAACATACGAAGTGAATAAGTTATCAAGGATGCCACTGAGCTTGTATAAAAGACCAATTGACAGTCTCGAAATCCTAGTCGCTTCGAATCCCCATTAAAGCCCCATCACGCTGTTAACTGTAATGACAAATGCCTTTTTGCCTCGGTAATAATCCCATCATAAGAAGTGAAATGGGATAGGCTTGGCTTGATTCAACACTCACTTCTGTCCTGTGATTGACTGGCACTCGTGGCAACGTGGTGCGGGGTCAAAATGTCGAGATTATACACTGCGCCATCCGGGCTCGAGTCTCGTTTGGATACCTTACGAGTCCCGATGGCGGTCGAGACTGGAGGAGAACGCTTTACTGAAGCAAAGATAGATGAGCTTCAATTGCATTCTGAGGCCTCGCTGGAAAATTCACTATTAGTACTTTTTATCATACCGGACTACTTGCAAGTCGCCTACCGGACTCATACAAAGTGTAATAATGCAAGTGATGTGAGTCGAATACGTTTGCCCAAGCAGCCCAGCCGTAATGGAAGAGGACTTTCTCATCTCAAGTGCTATTCTCAACTTCCTAAAAGTGGCTAGATTAGATCGTTGTTGGGGGGACTTTCATTTCGTCTGAAGAAGAGATTCGTGGAATGATCTCGCCAGAAGACGGCGGCTGAATCCCGTCTTTATACAGACCTTCGGCTTTAAAACGACGTTGAGGTTGACGCGATATACGAGACCTCCTCCCTCGCTTCGAGGGAAAACAGGCTGAGCTTTCGTCTATCATTTGATGGACATCATCAGAGCTGGATGACATCAACCGCAAAATAGGTTGTTCTCGTGGGTAGGTTAAGAAGTCTATCTATGGACGCTACGCTTAATCTTATTCATTGTGTAATCTCTGGATGCCCCCTCAGAGCTTGTACTAGAGCCTGAATAACTCCTTAAACAAGACTGTTTGCAGACATAGACACAACATCAACATTTTTAACTGTATCTTCTTCATAAGTTATTTGCAGATAAATTAATTTTAAAAAGTTGTAAAAAATTTTTATTGAATATGGCCAGAAATTGGCAGTTTTCCTTGTATGAGATCACTTGTGGTGTGCCAAGGCCCGATATGTGATAAAACAATATTTATTAACTACACACAAATTTGACTCTGTGACAAATCCCCATCATTGAAGTGGGACTATAATCTTGTGTAATGCTTTAAATACCACGTCGTTTGGCCCAGGCAGTGCGATCTCCGCAGATTCAAGCTTAGATCCTCGGTTCTGCTACAACACATTCTGCTACTGTTCTATACTACTTACTAATTCACACGAGTACGCAACTGTGGTGGAAGAAATGTTGCATAGGACATGCGAGGATGTTGCTGGCCTAAAGCGAGCTAAACTTATGTGGCACACCCTTTTACGGAATTTGCTTGATTTTTTCAGGTCCGGCGTTTGGCAACCCTTCGAATGAAGCAAACTCGTCTCTACAGGTACTTCTCACCACATGTGCCCCAGGCTCGAGTCTCGTCTGGTCTAAGCCTCACTTGCAATTCGGCCATGTCCTTTCAGAGGAAGGATAAAAGTTGATAATTCCTGTTAAAAGCATAACAATCGCCGTGGACGTGGTTTTTCTTTAGCTACGTCCGCCTCATTCATTTCGCCTCGTTCGACTCCTTTTAAGCACAGTCAACTTCGCCTCATCGCACACAGCACCATTTTGAGCCAGCTTCACTGGCCAGACGTTTCGCTATTTCGGCTGTTCAGCACTCTTTCACATCTCCCCGCCCAAATCTCCACGACGCCAAGGCTACGACGGATCCGGGACTGCGGACTCGGACTCATGGGCCGACTACTGCTCAACCGAAACAGAAGGGTGCTAGGGTCGACGCTTTCAGGTTAGCACATCAGGCCGACTTCCAGGCATAATTGCTGAAGCAGTTCCCGAAGCCATGACCATCCAATGTTTCATCCACTCGCACATCAACCGGACAGTCTATCCATCCATATCCGTACATTTCTCCTTGTTTGTGAGGCTGGATGGCAACCAGAGACTGGAGTTGCGAGGGCAGAGGCCGGCGAAGATAGACGGAACGCGAAAGCCCATTCCGCCCAGCCGACTTTCGAGGAGCATCTTCATCCAGAATCCCGTACATTCAGTTACTCGTGTTTTTCTCCACACATGCACACATGCACGTCTTTCGACCTACCTATCGCTCTTTACCACTTTGGCACTTGCCTCACTTGGTGTCCAATGGCTTTATGTCGTTTTCACATCTTCTGTCTGAGTGACCGGTACCAGCGATCTGGTCGAGCAAATCCATTCAAACTGTGGACACTGGAAGGCGTCTCAACCGAGCTTCCAGTGACTCATCGACGGCCGTCGACCGGAGACGTGGGCAACCCCGCTTCCAGGCCGCACTCCATTGGCCGCGCATTCAACACTCACTCGATCCCCCTCGTAGGGCTAGTCGACCTTTCCTCTGCTCCCATGGCCAAGGCCCCGAGCCACGAGCCACGACTCGCATTCCCTTACTCATTATGATCTCTTTTGCCTCCCACTCTTACCCCACACTCACCCTCACCCTCACCCTCATCTTCACTCCCGTCGCTATCCTACTTCCATGCCTGTTGTCAATTCCATCTATACCCCCACTCGCACTCATGCTGCCATCCTCACTCCTTATCTTAATCTCGTCCCAAATCCCACTCCCACAACTAGCCTCCCCTAATTCCCACTCCCACCAACACTCTCATGCATAACCCCATGATCACTTCCACTCCTAATCTCATCCCAAATCCCACTTACACACCTAGCCTTTCCTAACTCTCACTCCCACCAACAGTCTCATTCATAACCCCATGACCACTTCCACTCCTAATCCCATCCAAAATCCTACTTCCCCACCTAACCTAGCTTAACTCTCGCTCCCACTCCTACCAATAATTCTACTCCCATCCCAAATCTCACTCGCACTATTAATCCACCCTCATTCCCACCTTCACTCCCAGTCCTCTCGCCATCCTCACTCCCATTTCTACTCCCATTCTCCCTCTCATCCATACTCCAACTCCCACTCTATACCAGTGAAAGCATCTTGAGATCCTCTTCCTCCTTGCGGGTACTTCCGCGAACCGGTTCGCCAAATAAACCGTTTTTCCTATCCATCAACTCCCGCTTCGCTGATCCACCACTGGCGAGTGTCTCTGACATTCGAGGGGGCGTGGTAAAGAGAGAGAGAGAGAGAGATTCATAAAATGGTGCCTTGCGGAGAAGAAGATTCGTGTCTTACATCCGCCTTCAGACTCGCCACCTGAGGATGGACTTGTCCTGAACGCTCGATCTACGCTCGTGCCATGTCGGCAGGCCGGGCAGCCGGTACCTTCGGCAGTGACGTTGTGACGGAGCCGATTCTTCGACTGTAAATACTCCCACTGAGCACCAGCTCAGAGCACTTCGCTTCAAAGACGGCCTCTGTTACATCAGCCTCAGAACTCTTGTCCATCTGCCTCATTTTCACCCACCTATATTCATAAGATGATTCATTTTGTCTATATTTTGTCTCTTCTAGCCGCATTTACGATCGCGATTCGGGCTCCCGATTCCCGGAATCTGGTGCATCAGGGGCCAAAGCTGTAGGCTCGAATCCACGCTAAGTTGGCTGGAGGGCTTTTGCTTGCCGTGACATGACTTGTCGAAGTGTTGTACAGTCGATGTGAGGTGAGAACGATTGATGAAGGGGGAGAAGGAGAAAAGCTTTGTGATCCATCTTCTAGCCATGTGCTACAGGACACACAATCTGGTACCGATGAATGAAATAAAAGACGACAGAATGTCTTGTGATTTTACTGCGAGATGTATAGCATAGGTTAAATGTGGTGAAAACGTTTGGGGAAAGAGAATACGAAAAACTGTTTTATGATCCACCTCACAGGCAGGCTGCGAGTGGGAGAAAAGATGGAATAATGTTTTGTTGTTAGTGTCACCTTCATTTCGGATGAAAAGGCATGAAGAAGAGATTCGTTGCTCGATCTCATCGGATGAGGACAGATGAATCTCGTTGTGCTGCTGCCGTTTGGCTTTAATACGATATTCATGCTGACGCAGTCCACGAGACTTCCTCCCTCCTCTTGAGTGAAAACGATGGACATCGTCAGAGCTGGGTGTTATTCTTGTAAGAGTCTCACGTTAACACTAAAGCAAGAACACTATCCGGCTCTATCTTACTTCTTATGAAGACTCAATCATTTCAAAAAATTAAAATTAAAAACCTAGATAGATCAATATAGAGTGATTTGCTTTCGCAACATGGTCATATTGGTAGGAAGATTTATTGGAACGCACCCAGTCCGGGGTCCATTGTCTGCATGATCATTTCCAATGTTGACCAGTGGACGTGGAACATTCCCAAACGTTTCGCTGGCATCGTCAGTGAGTATCGCCATCCTAAGCACCATACA